TGCAGACATCTTCACTCCTGCCAGAAGTCACATTCCAGACATAAGTGTCAACAATAGGGGTGATCTAGTACGAAGGAAGCCACATGAATTCGATGGGAAGGCACCATTGGAAGCATATAGACCACAATTTGAGCTCCTGGCAGAAATGAACGGATGGACAGTGGAGCAGAAAGCAGTGTGCCTGGCAACGAGCCTAAAGTGACAACCACTGGAAATACTTGGAAAGTTGTTAGCAGACGACAGGCACAACTACAGAGCAATGGCAGCTGCTCTAGAAATCAGGTATGGAACTCAAAATCAGTCCAAAGTCTACAGGGCTAGGTTTAGGACTAGAGTCCGTGCCAAAGGGGAGAGCCTGCAAGAGCTGGCACAGGATTTGGAAAGTATGGCACACAAGGCCTACCCAACTGCACCATCTGATGTCTTCAAGTTGTTGCTGAGTGATCAGTTTGTAGACACTTTGGACTGTCCACAATTGAAGATACAAGTAAAGCAAGCACATCCCTCTACTATGCAGGTTGCAATGGCTAGAGCTCTTGAATTCGAATCCGACATTAAGTCCAGCACAGAGGTACCAAGGTTGATACAGTCATCAGGAGTCAAGGCCAGAAAAGGTCAGCTTTCAGAGAAGTTTGAGGGACTTTGCTGGCACTGTAACAAACCTGGAAACAGGAGAGCTCAATGACGGCAACTTCAACACAGGAAAGATGCCACGGCAGAAAAGGCTACTACCCAGAATGGTTGTTGGAATTGTGGAGAGCAAGGACATATAAAGAGCCAGTGTAAGAAGAATACTACCAGTAAGTCAGCTTCGGGAAACCAGTAGTAGTTGGTGTTGAGGGATGCCCACTAACCCCATTGTGAAAGTCCAAACAGCTAAGTGTAAAATAGCAAGCACGCATAGTGTCTACGTGACAGGAAAGCTGGATGGCCAAAAGTGCAACTTTGTCATAGATTCTGCATCTCAGTAAACCCTTGTGAGTATCAAGGTGCTAGATTACAAAGAAATACCAGAAGCCATACAGAAGCTCTGTGATGTGACAGGACATTATGCAAGATTGTGGGGACCAGTGTAGGCAACTACTGAGCTCATGGGCATATAGGACAGAAACAAAGTATACTTGGCTGACATTGAAGACCCATGCACATTAGGGTTGGATTACTTACTACCGAGGAAATGTGTGGTTAACTTTGATAAAATGACGTTTGGGAACAACAAAGGCCAAATTCTGGTAAGTGTTGCTGCATCTGTTGATTTGCATGTCACAGCACTTAAGTCAACTACAATACTCCCCTATGCCAGAGAAGATAATTTGTGGTAGAATAAAAGAATATCCTCAAGGAAGCCTGATGCTTGTGGAAGCAGTGGAAGACCAATCCAGGCCAGCAGACGTGAAGATTGGAAGGTCACTTGGGTAGGTCATCAAGTTGTACCCATAACAGTGGCATTGTTGGGTGTGTACCAGGAGGTAGAGCTAGTCAATGTTAAGACAAGAAATACAACCATAAAGAAAGGACATCCTCTCCCAGAACATTTAATTGACCTCT